AAATTCTGAGCTAAATTCCTTTAAATATGTTTTAAAATGATAGGGTTTTACGATCAAATGTTAAATATCTATGAATTGTTCAAAAATCGCCAGAATTTTACCACTTCAGGTATAATTTTGAAATTGGAATCCAATACGTTTATTTTCAACCAAATTACAAACAAAAAATCAAAATCAATAATAGTGTAAAATAAAAATAAAATAAACTTCTTATTGTTCTTACATTTTTTTTTTTAAATTTTATTAATTATTAATAAAACTTTAAGAAAAATCAAAAAATTAGCTCTTCGAATAAATAAAGTGTGTTCAGAAATGATGTTAACCTTAAACACTGGAGCAATATTTATGGTAGAATATTGATTTACAGACAAAAAAAAAAAATAATTCACTTCAAAGTGAAACCAATACATAAGTGATATTTATTTGAAAACTCCAAGGACGGAAAACCACTTTGAAGTAAATCAAAATTAGACATACCTATAATGCTTGTTTTTAATAATGAATAAATTAAAACGTTTTTTATAAGCACTACGGATACAATTGCATATTGTTTTAACTTAATTGATAACGATTTTAATGATTTTTATCGTCTTATTAAATTCCTGATTTTAACGATTTATACTTTTATTTTTCACTTTTATTTTTTTTTTTAAATTTAAAAAGTAAAATTATATTTGCATAGTATATAAGTCTCCTAGAAAAGAAAACTACTAAAAAACGTATGTATTTTTTTAATAAGTATATGGGTTTTTATGAACGGAATATTTTGATAGTTTTCAGAGGTTTTTCTATGTTTAGATACTGCATACATATATGTTGTAGAGTATACTCTTAGCTACACGCATAAAGGAAGGCCCGTACGACGTTCCATATAATAATCAATAACTGATTATTTGAAATTCTATATTCTATCTTCCATTAAAATCAGTGTAGTTACGGATTAATTTTTTTCAAAAATTTCCGCTTAAATCTCTTATACGGTATTACTCCGCTCACGGCGTAAAATCGTGAATTGGAATACTTTAAAAAGTTAAACAAATTCACATAGATTTAGTTGGAATGTCCAAAAATCCATTACCATAAAGCGACTGACTCAATGACTAGTTTTATGGTCGAAATGTTCAGTCTAATAAAAATAATGTTACATTTTTCATATTTTATACACCATTCCGCTTAGTCTAACGGTGCTGCTCCGCCTTGAAAAAAAAAAAAAATTGTCTGTAGTTTTCTATACACTGTGTTATACTTATACATTATAACTTATATCTATCGCTATTATTATGTTATCCTGGTTCGTTTACAATACACTATTAAGGAGACGTGGGTGCATTTGAACCGAACGTATTTCCGCATTCGGTATTTGTTCAATTTTCTAACAATATAACAAACTACGACTTTTATATAGGGTGCAAAACTCCGTGTATACTTGAATTTTTGACGTACGAACGAATTATTGAAATCTCCCCAGTGAACCAACGGACGTCCGGTGTTATTATTACGTTTAAATAAAATATACTTGTCGGTTCTTTGATTCGGATTCTGAGCGGGGTGAGAAATGTAATTGGTTTTACTATGTTTTAGTTTTTTTTTTATTATAATTTATGTTTGTGGCCAGCTACATCTACATCGTATACATAATAAAATGTTATAAAAAGTAACGCCAAAAATTGACCTTTCATTACATTTCACGTAAGTATAAAACTGCGGTCTTTGATGGATAATAATACCTACCTATTATTTGTAAATTAAATTCTATGTATTGAAATATAAATTATGTTAAGGCACACGTAAACATATTTGTATTTCAGCGTTTGGTTTGTTCAATTATTGTGTTTGTATTGCTACAATATGTACAATATATTATGACATTGTTTAACGTGCGTATGTTTTTATACTATTCTCCATATACTAATGTGTTCAAATTGAATTTCCACATGTTTTGATAGAGGTTATCCCGAATGCTAATCCATTTTTGTTTTTTTTTTTTAAATTATAATTAACGTATATTTTATAGGACGAATATTAATAAAATGAGTTTCTCAAAATAATTTCAGAAATATTAATTTACAAGTTAAATATTCGTTTTATTCAATACATTTATTTAATGTTCATACCTTATATGGGCTATAATACTTCAAATATAGTCTATGTATTTAACTAGAGGCAAAGGTAACACAAACGATAGCAATACTGTCAGGAGAATTTTTTACGGCTCACAAAAAAAATTCTGATAAAACGGGTAATTGATTTAAATTTACTTAGGCAAAAATTTGTAAATAAGCTACGAAACATGTAACCGATTAGGGAAAGTAGAGTGAGAACCCGACTTTACAGACGTAGTCTGAACGAGAAAATAGTAGAAAGATATTGTTATATATTTGGCAAAATGGTCTCATAGTCCTTAGAGAAAAAGAAAAATCACTATTAACTATTTTATAGACTAATACGTTGTATTTGGTATAATGTTCGTATCTCTTACAGTTATTTAAATTTTGAAAAGTCTATCTATCAGATCTAGAAAAATGAGGGTAGTAACGTTATTTGATGATGTTCCCGTACGTTTAGGCGGCTTGCGGTAGTGCGGTAGTTTAACAACAAGTATTACGCAACTGAAGTATTATGTGAAATAAATTACACGGGGTTTTCACAGTAAAAAAATATGTAAAAATTATGAAGTTTTTACGAGAAAAATGACATGTAAAATTATGTAAAATCAAATATGGTTCAAGGTTTTTATCATTGTAAATAATGCGATTTTCCAAAAAAGGGTCCAAACGATCCGCTCTAAGAATAAATGTTTACATTAAAAAAAAAAAAAAAAAACCTTAGGGTAAGCTATATTGTGGCCGGTATTAGAATAACGAATAGTTACAAGAAAACCGAGTAATGAGGTGATTTTTTATAATATGTACATAATTATATGTATAATAGATTGTGAAAACGACTTTTTGAGGACTGCTGGATGCGAATACTAGAGACGCGAGAAAACAAACGAAAACACCGAAACCACGTCCACCAATAATCATTTTTTCCAGCTTCCGTTTTTACGTTTATTTTTAGTGTTTCAACACTAATCGAATACCATTATAAATTATGACGCAGTTTTACAAAAATTAGTTAAAATTTAAAAAAAAATTTAGTTTTAGTATGTCTTCGCATTTTGGCATGGTTGAATTAGATTATTCAATATAACTGACTACTTTTACGGGCTATTAGTGAGCTCAATCGAGAATAGAACGCTGTTTATTTGAAGTACATCAACATTATTTATTATGTCTATGTCCTCAGCCCCCCTCACCCATCAAACGATTTTTACCAATAATTTTATGCCAATATTTTGCACGTCATTTCTATGCATTTGTAGGATAATTTTCAGGATAAAATTGTAAAACACTAGTTTAAAGTTATAATAAAAATGATAATGGGGAGGTTGGAGACACATGTCACCATGGAAATACCCGAGTTATTATACATGTTTTTTCATATTATATTTTAATGCTACATTTGTATGAATTTGTACGATCACTTCCGAAATGCATGCAATCTCTCATTTGTTTGTATAGGCTTATTCTTCTGCAGTGCTAGGCGTTCCTAGGCGTTTAAAACTATATTTAATCTCAATTGTAAGTAACATGTGAACTTATATTTTTTAGCATCCAAGCATTCCAAGAAAAATGTAACATTATATTCACTATTTTATTAATCCAACCATCACCTTCTTTTACCGCATACATTTTAATATAATATATTAATTACTAGCTGTCTCTCACCCGAGCTAATTTTCGACTATTTAAAAGTGGCATTTTCAAATAATACGTTTTTCTATTATTAATTTAAAATTTAATAAATAAATACTTGTTTTCCAGAGACGATTAATTTTTTAAAAAGAGCGCCTTTCCCTGTGATAACCAAATCAACTAATAATAACCGTTTGTTTGTTTCGTACTATTCATAATATGTATACACAATAGTGATGTACATTTTCATGAAAATTTTTTTTGGTGAAAATTTTCAAAAAGTTGAAAATTATGAATATTTTATAATTTCTCATACCTATTAATTTATTATCAAATGAATCCCTTGATATTACATAATTGTACCTAGTATATTTCACATTTATAATTATATTTAAAACTACGTACTAAGTACATTGTACTTGTATTAACTCATTAAATCATGGAAAAGAAAATTCATTGCAGATCATCGTGGGACACCCTGTGTATTATATATAATAACCAGGCCAACTGCATAGGTATTTTAGATTCAAAGTGCAGTAAAAAATGTATTGGTTTTACAAAGATGTTTTTTTTTTTTTTTAAATTTTTTTTTATACTATGTACAAAAATTCGATCAGAAATGGTGCCGCATGTAAATACCTGAGCTAGATTTCTGAAAGGAAATGTTGTTCAGATGATAGTTTGAGGAGGTTATCTTTTGATATTACAAGTGGTTTTTATTATATCTGGGAAAAAATAGGACAAAACGTCAGAAAAAAGGGAAATTTAAGATAATCATGCTTTTATTATTTTTTAATTTTATTATTCGCAGTAATTCAGTTAAACACATTTGTAGAGACTTGAAATGTATACAGAAAATCTATATTTGTCTTTTCTAGATGTGTCAAATTTTCAAAAAATTTAAGCTATATTTGAGCTATTTATAGATATTTAGATTTTGCGAGTTTTGTACGTAATTTTTAAAGCTTTTTGAAATTCCGATATTATGCGGATATTATACGAGGGCGTACACAAAAAAAAAAACCGCCGTACAGAAAGGGCTGTGTGAGCAGGAGCATTGTCGTGATGAAAAAACCAGTCTCCTGACTGTCACAAATCAGGTCTTTTTCGCCTGAAACTGTTGCGTAATCTTTTTAACACCTCTAGGTGAAATGCCTGGTTAACTGTCTGACCAGGTGGAACAAACTCCGAATGGACGACTTCTCTCACATCAAAAAAACAAATGAGCATTGTCTTAATATTTGACCTCACTTGACGAGCTTTTTAAGGGCGAGGCGATGCTGGAGTCTTCCATTGGCTCGACTGTTGCTTGGTTTCAGGACCATATCCATAGCACCATGATTCGTCACCTGTAATGACCTTGGAAAAGAAGTTCAGGTAATTTTGGAATTCTTTCAAAGAAGAACATGATTCCACGTGGCCTTGTTTTTGCTGTTCAGTTAGCAGTCGAGGAACAAATTTTGCAGCCACCCGTCTCATCCCCAAATCTTCACTTAAAATTCTCTGTACTAAACTCCATGTCACACCAGATCTCTTCACTACTTCTTTGATGGTTTGCCGTCGATCTTCCAGGATAATTTTGTGAATTTTTTCTACATTTTCGTTGGNAACGGGAAAACCACTCAAATACTTGAGTTTTCCCTAAAGCATCACCTTTGTAAGCTGTTTTCAACATCCCAAAGGTTTCTGTGCCTGTTTTTCCGAGCAGGAAGTAAAATTTGACGGCCGCGCGCTGTTCACGCAAATCAGCCATTAAAAAAATGACGAGTACGAAAAATAACTTTTAAAAAAAATATCACACCAACGTAACACAACCTTCCATGATGACGGCCGTTGGCATATTGAAAGTTGAGAAGTATATATTTATACGCCCCAACCGGAAAATATCGGTTCTACTAAAACTCTGTCCGACACAACATCAGTTCGGTTTCTTTTGGGTACGCCCTCGTATGTTATTTAAAAAAATTCTAAATCGTATACTTTTTCTTATGTTTGTCATAGCCGAATGGTTTTAAATACAATTTGTCATCCTAGAGGTTGCAAGTTTAAACCCACGTCTCGAAAAAAATTCTTTGAACTTATTTTATCCCTTTACTTAAACAGGGAAAAAACAAATGCATTTTAGGTGTACCTAGAAATCCAACCATCGCTTGCTCAGATAATTTTAATCGCAAAATACCCCTTAATTTGTTGTGCAATCTTTTCTACCAGAAATCTTGCTCTGATGTATCAAGTGTAGCTTATTTTTGAAAGTAAATTTTATCTCCATGGAAACCTAGGGAGTTTTTTTTTGATTTTTCAAGCGGTTTTCATAAAATTTGGGAAAAACCAGGATAAAATGTCGGAAAAATGGAAAATGCATGAAATATATTAATAATGTCTTTGGACAACTTTTCTACCAGCAATTTTGCTCCAATTTACAATAATAGAACTTTTTATAAAAGAAAATTTGATTGGGAAGGTACTTAAAATAGTTAATTTTTCGATTTCCCAGGAATTTTACCAGCAAATGTGAAAAACCGGGAAAATAGATACAGTATCAAACAAATATTAATAAAGAAAATATATGATGTCAACTAAATTATCTTGTCGTAATATGGCATATTTATTGTTGAAAAAACATCACTATCAACTGAACTGGGACTCAGACCCGTTTATTGGTTAACAATGGTTTATCGTTGCTTTGCAGATATACGTTAAATTATCTATAACAGTGGCTGCACCTGTCTCCATTATCCTAGGACGTCTTTTTATCATAGGTAGTTAAAAAATAAAATATCGAAAAACAGATTCAAACAACTAATGGTTTTATCTTAATGTTTAAAAAGCGCGGAGAACTGCAGCTTTCCAATCGAAAGATTGAAGATCAAAAGAAGAAAAATATTTTCGTTATTTTATAACTTGCAAATTTCAGCAAACTGCAAACGTGGGAACGAATACAGTGTTCCACGGAAATCTGAAAATTTGAATAATTTTTTTTTTTTTTTAATACATATACATATATTTTTTTTTTCATTTTTTAATAAAATGTTTTTTTTCAAATTTAAAGTTACTCGTTTTTTAAATTAACTCTGAAACAGTATTTTTATTGTTACAAATATTATATAATGAAGTCATTAGTCATCTACAATTTTTTGAAATTCATGGTACGTAGTTTAAATTTTTCTTATCGATAAAAATGTTTACAAATTAAATTTTGTATTGGTTTTTTTTTAGAAAAAAAAATATGTATAAAATATAGCATTTGAATAGAAAATGTTTGTTATTACAAAGAAAGAAAACCTTAAAATTATCGAACAGAACAATGATTATTGTTCCATTCTCCAGGACTACGTGGGACTCTTTGTGTGTTAAATTTGATATTACAAAGTTAACGTTTCGAGTAATACTTAAATATATTAGTCAAATTTGCCACGCAATTATTTTCTATCGTATCGGAGATATAACTGATACTAGAACACGAGTTATATGATCGATAAAATTCATAGAATTTACTTTCGTTTCGTTGTGTTCCGTTTGTTTTCGATTAAATGATCAAAAGATTTCCTAAGCAATGATGGTAATACGCAGCGTGTTTTACATTTACGAATAATGTAAGGCAAAGGAAATTTCCCTTTTACTCGTTTAAAACAGACACGAAATGTGACATCAAGTGGCGTGTAATTAATACCTATATAGAAATGAATCACTTTTTTGCGGGCTTGCATTGTATTGTTGTTGAAGTGGAAATAATACGCGTTCAACAATATTGGCCACCGAAAACGCGTAAATGATTTTAAAAACGCGAGTCAATAAGGGTGGAGAGATCAAAGGGACCCAGAGGGCTCGAGGCGATGTCTGCAGCATAATAATAATAATAGTTATAATGTAATTCAAATAATAACCGCAAACACAATGGTTGATATACGTGTGCACCGGAAAATAATATCATAACGAAACGTGCAGCAGAAGAGCGCTCTCGTGTTTCGATCCTTCTTCGAAAACACGCGGTCTGTGGTGAAGAAAATCTCGGAAACGGGCGAAACGAGAAGTGGCAGTGATTTGGTGCTATCGACCGACGACGAACCCTGTAGGTAAGTAATACAGTTGATATGGAAATTTAAACGACTAACACCGACTAGGACCAAGTCATTAACTAGGTTTTTCGAGCCATTTGGATAGTATAAAACGACAAGAAATTAATACCACCGGGGCTTTCGCGGTAGATTTAGCGCAATGTTACGATAGAAGCAAAAAACTGTAGCAGAATAAAACATTTGCAGACTTTTTTTTCACTTTTCATTATTTATAATACACTTATATATACCTATAATCTAATTTATTTAATAATATTTCTAATTGAATTTTTTTTCAATTTTTTTTTTTTTTTTGCAAATATTTCACTCGCGAGATTTTAAATAAATAATCATACCCGAAACGGTTTTCGAGGTTTTGTTTTTACTGATACGATTTAAATTCATTTATTTTGTATACTATCATGTGAAAATAACACTGTAATAACTCTGGTATTAAATTGTGTAGGACTAGGACGAAATTATATGCTATACATTAGATCCAGAAAAAAAAAAACTATTTGTTTTACTAACGATGTTATAAATATTAGGAAAACGGATATTTAGATTTTTACATATATTGGCATATTTATCGGCTTTAAGCACAACCAAAATGCTTTAATTCCGCTGTAAGAAACGGGGAATCATTGCAAATTTAAAGTAGGAGTATGATCATTTAAAGTGGGCCAGTTAATTTTTTCACAAGGCCATCACTTCAACTGTAGAAATAAAGTTTTGGGTACGCGTCATGGTCATATTGACTAAAAGAAATATATTAACGGTTTTATCATCATTGTGTTTAAAAACTATAAAAATAAATTGTATTAGAAATTATTTTAATTTATTATCACATAATCATTTACAATAAAAAAAAAGATTGATTTGTATGCATTAATAACACAAATTTCATGATTATATCGATATGTATCGATTTCAGCGCGTTTTAATTTGTACAGTTGATAAAGTATTATACAGGATTATGTCCTACAAAGATATACCCATTGTAATATCTTCGGCGATAATAAAGATAAAAAATTATATATTTTTTTTTTTTTAATATTACTCACAGTGTTAAGGACTACAAATATTTATATTGCAATTAATTTTGTATGCTTTGATAAAAAACTTAAAAAAAATAATTACTTTTTATATTTCACTATTTATTGAATAATTAGAAGATTTTATAGTTTATTATTTTCTGAACATTTTGACCTGTCGACGTTTTATTTTCATTAAATTCGTGATTTTTAATAATTTTTTAACGTTCAGAGAATAGGCTGCTATCGCGTTCTCTAAATGATTATTAATATTACGGTTGACTGTACACTTTTATTCTCCGAGATTTAAAAAAAACTATTAAAAATCGCAAATAAACATAAAAATTAATTGCAGTATAAATATTTGCAGTCCGTATTCCAGTGAGCAATGTAAACAAAACAGAATTTGATTATACTTATTAGCACCGGAGATATTTCAATGAGTATATTATCTTCGTGGGGCACTCTGTATCACCTATTTACTTAATACTTGTGTCCTGTGATAATATTATTATAATTAAAAACTAAACAATTTAATATCATACGCATTGAAATAGTCTTTGCAGTCATATTAAGTCGGTAGAACCGAAATGATACACAATTATCAATGTTTTGTATAGGTCATGTAATAATACGGACATACTTCGCACGATGTGTGGGCTACTGTTGTAGTGGGTGAGAAGTATGTATGTACGCAACGATTATCCGTTGATTACGAAAAGCGATTCCGAGCAGGGAGCAATAGTGTTGCTTTGTAATATTTACGAATATAATAAGAAATTTGATATTAAAATTCTTATAAAAAAAAAATTCAACATTAAATACAATTTTTTTTTTTTACCACAAATTATGACTTAAAAAGAACCTCTTTTAAAATTATCAAGCATTTCTATTTGGTCTAACAATTGTAACCACCGAGTAACTACCGAACAAGAATTACTTAAAAAACTCCCAAAATTAAAATTTTTACGTAAATAGCTCAAATATGACGCAAATTTGTTCAAAATTCTACCACGTCTAAAAAAAGCAAATATAATTTTTATGTCTTCCTACTTTCTTAATCAATAACTAGATCCACGATAAAATAAAAAAGGTTTTTTTATTAAAGCAAGATTTCTGTTAGAAAATATAAGTCATATACATTTAAAATAATGGGATCTGTAACGCTGCAATGCAAGCGTGCCAGGGAATTCCACACGGGACAAAACGTTTTGTTCGTGAAATATTTTATATTGTTATGGTAACGTGGTATGTCGTTATGCGTTAAAAAAAGTCTATACAGCTGAAAATCCCAGAAGGAGAGAGCAATGACCCTTTTTGCCCCTCTACGAGCACCCAAGCCTGTGGCGTACAGTGGAATGGTAAATTTACACGGAAAAGAGACTTAAACGCTCCTAAATTTGGTGGTCTTCATAAAATTTCAATGAATAAGACTCAATACAAAAAAGACGTCTTAGAATAATGGGAACGGGTGCAGCCAGTGTTATAGGTAATCTAATAAATTCCTGTAAGCAACAATAAACCATTGCTTACAAAAAAAGATTCGCAATTCAGTTAATAGTGATGTTTTTTCAACAATTTATATGTCATATTATAGTTAAATAATTAAAAGGGCTTTATATATATTTTTTAATAATATTTGTTTAATTTTGTACCGATTTTTC